CATGATGTCAAGGACGGTAACACTCCATGCGTGATGATTGGCGGCAGCGGATCAGGAGAGCTTCACCCAGTCTCTTCTCCAGCGACAGAGGCCGAAGATAGAAGGCCCGATAACTGCTTCCATGCCTGTGCGGACGGTGCCGACCCAAGTCTTCAGTTGCCCTCCTCTTCGACGCTCTTCGTCGAACTCACTCAGCGAACCACTTCTTTATCCCAGAAGCAGAATACACCTACTAGAGGATACATGTATATGTGAAAGATGACTTTCGAGTGAGTTCTCACCGGCGGGAAAAAATATAGTGCAACGTGATAGTGCTAACTAAGCAACATTCAAATTATGCGATTTTTACCAATTTTAATCGTAAAATAGTTATGTGTTTACTTTACTTACGATCTTATGTTAAAATTTCACTTCTTTTTATTATGCTGCGATACAGCAATTTTACGTTGTTAACTGGGTTTTCTAAAAATTTTCGTCGTTTAGCATTCTGTGATTGTTAGTGACATTTCTATCATATAATTCGTGGTTAAGCTGCCTTGACCATCAGGTTTTTTGATAGTTTTGACTAATGAAATAACATGAGTCAACAAAGCTTGAAGCTGATTCCTGACTTGATGGAGGGATTCTTCGGGGTGCTTGCACCCGTTAAACAGTCACTTGCAATGGCCATGGAGGGTGACTATCAGAATCCTGGGATTGATAGCAGTTATCAACATGAGTTGATGGATAATTATCCCAAAAAGTATGCCATTATTATAATTTCGACTATTGCAGTCTGGAAAACGAAAATGACTATTGTCTGCACTGTGGTGAGGGTTTCGAAGTCAACGAAAAGATCGTCCAAGCTAGAAATGAAAAGTTCCATGTCGGGTGTTTTGTGTAAGAATTTTCGTTTTTATTTGACCTGTATTAGGTGCGCACAATGCTTTCAGCCGTTCCCTGATGGTGTCTACTATAACGTTTGATAAGTTATTATTGATTACCTCTTGTTTAGTTCGATGGTCGTAAGTATTGTGAACACGATTTCCACGTCCTTTTTGCCCCATGCTGTGGCGGCTGTGGTAAGAAATCACTTGCATTTGGCTAATCGGCAGGTTGTTTCATCGTTGGACGCGTGATAAAAGCCATGAACAGCAGCTGGCATCCAGCCTGCTTCTGTTGTAGTTTGTGCAAAAAGGGTCTGGCGGATGATGGATTTGTAAAGCATGCTGGACGGTAAGATTTCTTATTAATTCCTTCAATCTTTTTTGCTTTACTACTGTTTTTAAGTCCACGTGATTTTATTTGCTTTTATTTGGTTCCGGAACATTGCAATTAGGGCTGTGACAAATACTGCATTTCAAGTTTGATTATGCCGTCATGTGTACCTGTTTAAGTATAAAAATAACAATTACCAAATTTCAACGAAAAGTTATTCTAAAAGAACTTAAAAAGAATCATAATGACGCTAAATAAAATGGGTTATATGCCGCAGAGCTATTTGCATTAATGCCACTTATCTCATGTGCTTTTCAGTTGTAGCTATGCTCTCCCCAAACGGATATGCACGCAAATCGTTTAATAAGTTAAGATTTCTCAACACATTTACATTAAACTTTACTGAAAATTTAAACGCGAAAAACTGCCAGAAACGTCTCAGACTGTGAATAATGTGTATCTAAGAGAGTGGACACGTCCCCTTAAGACCAGAAGTTCTTACGTCATGCCCAGGTCAGAATTCTCTAAATTACTCCACACGAGATCTGAAAAGTGACCCATAAAGGTTGCGCGTAAAATAAAACTCTATGTAATTTTGCTCTCAACCCGAAATGGTAAAATCTACTCCTATGATTTATTACCAAATTATCTCGACTAAAACGAAATATAAGCACCGCCTACCGCGTTTAAAAAGCTGTCGGCACTGTCTGTGACGGTAATTATGTAAGCTAGAGTGCACCAAGTAACCTCGTGACCGGTTAGGCTATCACCTGTGTTATCCATAGCTGTGCTCAGCACGTTACTTAGGCGTCTGGTCTGAATAGCGTCATTGGATCTTCAAGTTTGAAACCTGAAGAAATGACATTCATAATTTTGTTCTTCGGGCAAATAAACGACTTTTAGACCTTTACTTAATTTTAATTCAGTCGTTTTGTTGGCCGCACGTCATCTCCACGACTGTTTAATGCTCGAATGACTTCTAACGGAGATAGGTTACGAGGTTAATACGCTTATGAATATGACAAGTAATCCACTGTCGGGATAGGGACAACATTATGACTAATGTTTTATACAGTTACCGTCGTATAAAACGCCACGAAGCCCGGTGTTAGCACTGTGAAATGGCTACTATTAAACTCAATCCAGTAAGTTTGGCCTTCGCTGCCGACAATGTTCACAGTGTGTCCCACGGCAATGTAGGCTCTGAAACAACGGCTTATTCAACCTCTATCACACTTTCTTCTCTCGCCCACATGAGCTCGGTATCGTGACAGGGTAAACAAGCCGGAGGCGGCATCGGGCGCAGAATGGCTAGCATGGCTTAAACCTGCAAGTAGTCGTGTCGCCACCGCATCCATATGTGGCATTTTTTATGAGTGCACATCTTCCATAACGCCTGCCATGTCTTCATCTGGCCGCTGTTTTGGCCTGACCTACTGCGTGGCCCATTTAAGGGGCTTTAGAAGTGCTCTGTTCTCGATGCAGCTGAGATAGTGCTCGGATTTATCCACCAATACTGCAATCACACATAACCCCAAAATCTCAAATTTGTCTACCCGGCGAACTTCAAGTATTCAGCGTCTACAATACGTCACAACTAGCGAATGATACGCTTAATTAGTGGGAGGCCTTCCGCATGTAGTGATTGTTTGCAATATGAGTGATGATATTATTACCGACAACTCGGACAAGATTGAACGCCAGTGTGAGGATTTAAAACACTCCGATGGCCAAGTTCATCTCTTTCTACGGCGACATTTTATATCTCCCTAGGGTAAGCCCTGACGTGCAACCTTCCCCTCGACTTTACGAAGTTGATCAACGACAAGACCTTTAAAGAGGTCGCAAAACCAAAGAGCTGATTTTATGGAGTGATTGAACGGGCGTGGGGAGGTTGGATTGTTTCTGGTGGCTGGAACTCCGTCGTCCATGTGCAAGTCTTCAAGAAAGAAACCAAGACAAACTTCGCGAAATACAACAACAAATGCTCTATTACCATTACTTCAGAGGTCTTTGGATGTACCGGACAACTATTCACATGCCCTGACCACGCCAAATGTGAAGATTCACGGCTTTGCCGATTTAATAGAAACCGATTCAATCCGTCGGTGTCTTAATGCCCGGGATTGTATGGCTA